AACATGCAGCCTATATTCTGGTCAAGGTATGAAAAAATACACACGCGCACACACACGCACACACACAAAGCCTTGTTTTATTTAACCTGGGGGGCACTTGTGGTTTTCTATGGACTGCTAACCTAAAGGTTGGTGTTTTCAAACCTGCCCAGCAATTCTATGGAAGCAAGACCTCGTAAACTGCTTCCTGAAAGTCTGTACTTGAGAAACCCCCACAGATCCGTTCTACTCAGGAACCTACGATACGAATTGCCATGAGGTGGGACTAATTTGAAAGCCGCGCACAACCACAAGAACATAATAATATTTTTACATATTCTGATACAGGATGCATAATAAATTGGTGGGCGAAGGGGTTGCACACCCCAAAAGCTATATAACGTGTACATTATTTGTGTAAAAATACAGAATGTGAGCATATTATTATTGTTAGTCAAAATATTTTGTTCAAGTAAAATTTGTTAATACCATCTACCAACCCAATCCTTTGTAGGGTTGGGCTTCCCAATAAGCAAAGTAAGCATGGATTTATGTGTGCTTACTTAGTTATCTGTAGTGAAAGATTTCACATTTTTTTCCACCACATCAAAGGTTCTCTTTTCCAACTCCACAGCATCTTCCCCAGACTAAAACCTTCTTAAAATGTACAGTTCCTGACGGGGCTGAAGTACCCAGTAAGCAAGGTAAGCATGGTGAAAAGCATGGAAGGATTTGGTGCCTTCACTACAGATTAAGAAGTGAAAACAAGAGAATGGAAATGGACGGCCGTCCAGTGCATTCTGACTCCTCGTGACCCAATAGGCAGGTAGAATGCCCCTGAGGATTTCTGAGACTACTCTTGCAGGGAGTAGAAAGCCTCATCTTTCTCCCATGGGAAGAGGCTGACCTGACAGCTGCCCAACACCTAACCCACTACACCACCCTGGCTCAAATTAGTAAGTAAGCACAAGTAAGCCAGTGCTTATGTTGTTTATTGGGAAATCCTCTTCTAACCTTTTGCAAAATTCAGAAACTCGGTCTGAGGCTGTGGGGTTCAAACACTCATAACCCCCTTCTTAAAGTGCTTCCTTGGCTACTGGATTTGTCAGACATAATTCTTGTTATCTCTCGCTGGCTGGGAGAACAAGTAGGCATTAGGCACAAGGGCTGTACTTCTGCTGATGGCAGCTGTTTTCTTTAAATTGTGAATGACTAAGAAACGCAATCAACAGGAATACTTTATAGCCCTGAGGAGTGAGTAACACACTCACTTACTGCCAGCAAGTTGATTCTGACTCACAGCGACCCTACAGGGCAGGGTAGAATTGCCCCTGTGGGTTTCCTACTGTAACTCTTTTTAAAAAATCATTTTATTGGGGACTTGTACAATTCTTATCACAATCTATCCATCCATTATGTCACACATATTTGTACATTTGTTGTCATCATCATTCTCAAAACATGTGCTTTCTACTTGAGCCCTTAATATCAGCTCCTCATTTCCCCCTCCCTCCCTGCTCCGCTCCCTCACCAACTCTTGATAATATATAAATTATTATTATTTTGTCATATCTTACACTGTCCAACATCTCCCTTCACCCACTTTTCTGTTGTCCATCCCCCAGGGAGAAGGTTATATGTAGATCCTTGTAATCTGTTCCCCCTTTCTACCCCACCTTCCTTCCACCCTTCAGGTATCACCCCTCTCACCACTGGTCCTGAAGGGGTCATCTGTCCTGGATTCCCTGTGTTTCCAGTTCCAATCTGTACCAATGTACATCCTCTGGTTTAGCCAGATTTGTAAGGTAGAATTGGGATCATGATAGTGGGGGGAGGAAGCATTTAAAAACTAGAGGAAAGTTGTATGTTTCATCTCCTACTGTAACTCATTGTGGGAGTAGAAAGCTTTCTCTTTCTCCCTCTGACCGGCTTGTGGTTTCGAGCTGCTGATGTTGTGGTTAGCAGCCTGTTGTGTAACCACTATGCCCCACTGCCATTGAGTCAAGAATGACTCATAGCAAACCCTGGGGGTTTCTGATTGTAATGGTTGACAGGACTAGAAAGCCCAGTCTTTTTCCCATGGAGCTGCTGGTGTTTTTGAACTGCTGACCATGCAGATTGCAGCCCAACATGCAACCAATACACTACTAGAACTCCATTCGTAACCAGTACAGGCCTGCTCTGTTCTGGGTCATATGTTAAATGTTTGGGGGAGGTTCTAGTCTGGAGCTAACATAAGCCAGAGATTGTTAAGAGTGTACTACTGTGGTTTACCTTACAGTATGTCTTTGTTATTCAATATTAACTTGCAAATTATATGCTATATTGATAACAGCAATATTAAAACCCCATTGTTTTCAAAGTCAATTTGTACTCATGGCCATCCCATATGTTATACACTAAAATAGCTCCATAGGGTTTCTTGGCTGTAACCTTACAGAAGCAGCTCATCAGGCTTTTCTTCGTATCAGTGAGTGGGTTTGAACCACCAACCTTTAGGTCAGTCTCAGCCAAAAAAACTTCACTATGGTCAAGCTGATTCCAACTCATAGTGATCTAGTCAAGAGCAAGAAGTTTGCACTAGCCAGGGACCTTCAAATGAATATTTTTTGAGTCCTATGGGCCAGACTTGCTATTATAAGCCCTTAACACACATTAACACAATGATTCTCATAACTAAACAAGGAGGGACCGTTATTGCTGCCATTCTACAGTAGTGAAAACAGGTCTAGATAGTTAAGGAACTCTACCAACTTCATACCATTGCAAACATTAGATCACCTTATAATTTTCTTCACTCTTAAATGATTCCTCACACTGGGCTTGTTTGAAACCACCAGCTAGCTGCTCCTGAAGAGAAAGAGAAGGCTTTCTGCTCCGTAAAGAGTCTCAGTCTTGGAAATCCACAGCGGCCGTTGTGCTCTTTCCTATGGGGAAAGTCAGAAGTGACTCAAAGGCAGTAAAGTTTTGTTTTGGGGTTTATCTATTTTTTCACTCTTAAATTATTCATAATTTTTACAGAACATTTAAAATGATTAATTTCCTCACTTTCTCAGTGTAGGGATTTAAATTTTTTTTTCTTGGAGGTAGGAAGGGCATGCTGAGTTTGGAAGCTCTTCAGATGAAGGTGGAAAACTTAGAGCCAGGATTCTTTGCAAGGTAGGGAGCCTCCTGCTGCTGTTGAGTTGATTCTGGCTCACAGTAACCCCACAGGACAGACTAGAACTACAGCTGTGGGTTTCTCAGAGTGTAAATCCTTACGGGAGTAGAAAGCCTCATCTTTCTCTTTCAGAACAACAGCTGACCTTGTGGTTAACAGCCCAATGCAAAACCCACTGCCCTCCAGGGCCTCAGAGACCATTAAAAGACAACAAAAGGCCATCACCTATTGAGCCAAGGCAGTGGGGTTAGGGTCAGCATGTTTTCCTAACTCAACCCGTAGCCTTTTGTTTGTCTGAGACATTTTCATTCATTTCCAATCCAAATAACAGATGTGTGGTTTTTTGTTTTTTTTCAGGAATGGTTAAAGTTCAAGGGCTAGGGATGGGGGAGGGAAGGACAGCGAATACCAGACTCTGTCTTCAAATCTTTGGGAAGGAAAACAAAACAAAGCAGTAAAGACACCTGCAAGGGCTCACTCTCACTCCCGAGAACTAACCAGCAGGAAGGCTTCTTCCAGTGATCCTATTACACAGGCTTCCCTAGCACTCCCGGAGAGAGCGGTAAATAATTTTCACTTGGAACAAAGCCTATTGTCAACAGGGGAGGTTTTATCTGGAAGAAACCTTATGTAGGTCAGTCATTGAACTAGTGTCAGGTCCTGCAGTCAGGGACACATGGGGGTGGGTGTAATATTCTCTCCAATGCAAAGGAGACAAGTTGACAGAGGAGGCCCGCCTTGGTTTCTTTGGTGGCTTGGAGACTTGTTACGACCAAGGAGAAACTGCACTTCTTAATACTGGTCGGAAGTGGCAGACTTACAAATGCCCTCGTGGCATAGTGGTTACGCGTGCTGCGCTGTTAACTGCATGGTTAGCAGTTGAAAACCACCAGCAGCTCAGTGAGAGAAAGACCGGACTTTCTCTGCCGGTAACAACTCGGAAACTCCCAAGGGCAGTCTGTCTTGCTCTACGGGGTTGCTATGAGTAGGCATCGACTGGAAGGCAGTGAGTTTGAGTTTTGAGTGGGCTCCTGGCGGGTTGCCTGCAGTCCCCCTCAGGGAGAGATTTTGAGGTGAAAGGTCGGTAAGGGAGAAAGAGGGACCAGAGACTGCGCCATTAGGGCATAACAGTGACTAAAATGTGACTTTTAGGAAGGCTTGATAAGAAGAGGTCATGGAATAGGCCAATGATGTGTGATGATAGAAGTGGCAGCCTAGGTGACAGTGTAACTCAAACGTAATGAAGTGGACTACAAGGAATGTGATGAAGGGCAGATCAGTTGGGTTTGTACTTCAGCTGCCAAGCGGAGGCTACTTCTGAGACTTAATAGGTTCTTATGGGACCTGTAATGCGTGCAGCTTCTGGACTCGTACGTGAAGGCAGCCTTGTGCGCCTGGAAGAACACACCCCACAGCCATAATGTTCTTATCACGGAGAATCAATCAATCGTCAGGGCACTGGGGATCCAGACGGACCGGAGACGTGACGCCACTGGGTGAAACCCACTACTGTGAGGACCCACCTCTCTTCCCTGCCGATCCCCTGGCAGCGCCGTTCTGCCCTGGGAGAGACACTGGCCCCTGGCCACCTGCCAAGTCAGGCCCCAGAGGGGAAGAGGCCTCTGGGGCAGGCGGCCCAAGATCTTTCCAGATACCGCCGCCTTCCCCGCCACTCCTTTAGACTCTGGACATGCAGCCTGGAGGCGCTTTGCCTCCGCTTTATAAAAAGCCCCAAGGCAGGGCCGCCACCTGAGCCCGGCGATCGCCAGCGCGGACTCAGACCCCGGGCGCGGGGACCCCACTGGTGGCGGCGGCGGCGGCGCGCGCTGCGCCCCCGGCCCGGCCCTCCGCACGGCGCGCCCAGGCCGGAGCCGAGATGGGCCGCTACTCGGGCAAGACGTGCCGGCTGCTCTTCATGCTGGTGCTCACCGTCGGCTTCTTCGTGGCGGAGCTGGTCTCGGGCTACCTGGGCAATTCTATCGCGCTGCTCTCCGACTCGTTCAACATGCTCTCGGACCTGATCTCGCTGTGCGTGGGGCTGAGCGCCGGCTACATCGCGCGGCGCCGCGGCCGGAGCGCGCGGGCCACCTACGGCTACAGCCGCGCCGAGGTGGTGGGCGCGCTGAGCAACGCCGTCTTCCTCACGGCGCTCTGCTTCACCATCTTCGTGGAGGCCATCCTGCGCCTGGCCCGGCCCGAGCGCATCGACGACCCCGAGCTGGTGCTCATCGTGGGCGCCCTGGGCCTGGCGGTCAACGTGGTGGGGCTGCTCATCTTCCAGGACTGCTCCTCCTGCCTCTCCTGCGGGGGCCGCCGCCGCCGCCGCCGCCAGCCCGAGCTGCCGCCAGCGGCCCAAGGCGGGGCTGGCGGCGCTTTCGAGGGGCCGCTGGGCGAGGAGAGCTGGCGGCCGACAGGCCCCCCATCGGCCCCCTGCACAGACTCGGCCCTGACCCTCCGGGGCGCCCCGGGCGAAATGAAGGCGGCCGCACGGGCGACTGTGTTCTCAAACGTAGCAGGTGCCTTTCGGTTGCATCTCTTTGTCCGGCTCGCCTCCATCCGCCCTGGCTCCCTCTCCGCACACCTTTCTTGGCTCCCAAATCTGCTGCTATTTTTATAAATGCATCTCCTTGGGTGTTCCTGTCACTTCTCTTTTGCTAACTTCAACATTTCTCACGCGTCCTCTCTTTCTCTCCTAGACCCTCACTTCTCTGCCACCCCCCCTCTCCACCCCCCATGCCCCACAGCACCCAATGCTCTGGGATACAGCCTTGGTCTTTTTGGATATCAGTCAGTTCTACTGAGCAACAGATAGGACTCCCCAACCGCCCTCGCCCCCGTTAAATGCCATCTAACGGTGGCTTTTCACCCTCTCGCTTTGATGATCCTTCCACTCCTCTGGGAATTAAGTTTTGGGGTGGGACGTTCCCACTTGCCCTCGCTTTGTTTTAACTTGGAAGTGCAAATAACGTCCAGAGGAGGATCGCAAGGCTTATTTCAGGGCCAAAATGGTGTTGTCCTGGGCTGTGTGTGCGCATATGGGTGAGTAAGGTTTTCTGAGGAGCTGGTAGGAATTTAAAATAACAAAAACTTTATTTTGAGTCCACTGGTTCTTTTTGTTTGTAGAACTTATACACAACACAAGGTTTCTTCTTTGAATGCAGGTGATTCCCTAAACACCCCGAATGAACCTGAGGAAACATCGAAAAAGGAGAGAAAGTCCGAAGCTCTGAACATCAGAGGTAGGGCGATTTGGGGTTAATTTGAAATCTGCGGTACATGTGCGCTTGGCTGTCTGTCCTCTTCCTGCTTGTTTGACGTGTCATAGGGCAGGTAATTGGGGTTTGAAAGTAGGTCGATTGCAGGCATGGACTCTGACCCTGGTCGCTGAGTCTAATCACTGCATCGATTCTGTAAGAGAAACTAGTTGCTAATGATTTATCCTGGCTTCCTCTGCGTTTGACACATCAGTGGCACAGTATTACTCTGCTTGTTTTGGCCCCTGACATAAAATGTGGCCTATTTTGTTTGTTTGTTTGTTTATTTATTTATTTATACAACAGTTTATTGACATGTAATTCAAATATCATATAAATCAGTAGTTCAGTCACACCAAGAAGAGTTGTACAATCACCACTGCAATCAGTTTTAGAACCTTCATTCTTGTGCTCATTGTTATCAGCCCATTTCCTTCCAATCTCCCCTACTGTGCCCCCAAGAAACTATTAATCCAGTTACTATCTCTACAGATTTACCTATACTAGATTTCATATACAGAAAAACATTAGAACACAAAACAAACAAAATTAATAAAAGTAACAAAACACAACAGATAAGAACCTTAATAGAAAAGAAACAGAAAATATTAAAAACTAGAACAAATTTAAGTGGATCATACGGGAGATCAAATGATAGGATGCTAAATTTTAACTGCATCTCCAGCAATCCACTTTCCAATGGAAATGCAGCCTATTTTAATTGGACACTCTTTTGAATATTTCATTTTAAGATATTGTAGTAAATATATGAGGGGGCTTCAAAAAGTCAGTGGAAAAGTTGAATTAAAGTGAATGGAATATTCTGCCATCTCCATAGAAGTCCCCTTGTATGTAATAAAAAGTTAGCCATAGAAACCATTTTTAAGTCTACCATACAGTGACATTAATTACAGTCGCCAGATTGAACAACCATTACTACTATTCGTTTGCAAAGTGTTTTTTAATATCACTTCGTACAAAATCTCATTGCCCTGTAAGCAACAATAGGACATTGAATTAGAGAAAGGCAAGAGGATAGTAGGCAAGTCACTCTCCAAGGTTATGGCTTCCCCACCTTGGTTATTTCTGCCAGAAGGACCACTTACTTGTTCCACTGCACCTCTGCTGGCAGGGCCCACAGGGACCGTGGGCTTGTGGAGACCACAACCAGCAACATTCTTCCCTCACCCGCACTTATGGGCGGGGCCAGCTGGCCAAGGTCAGAGATGGCTTTCTCGGCAAAGAGCTCTTCCAGTTTTGGGGGCACAGACTGTGCTTAAGAATGACCCCTGAGTGACTTGGGGAGTTTCAACAAAGACTGGGCAGGCTTTCGTTCTGTTGTACCTGGGGCTGCTCTGGGTCGGAACGGATCGGTGGCACTGATGACAACCATCATCGCCTTCATTCCCAATAGACTTGATGGCAACCATTTTTTTTTGGGGGGGGGGGGAGGACATGTTTTCTACTTTGTCATTTATTCCTTCAGACACTATTTTTTCAAATACAGTCTTTCACAATTTTTATAAGGAGCTCTGGTGGTGTAGTGGTTTCATGTTGGGCTACTAAATACAAGGTCAACGGTTCAAAACTACCAGCAGCTCCACAGGAGAAAAACAAAACTTTCCAGTCCTTTAAAGAGTTACAGTCTCAGAAACTCCCAGGGCCAGTTCTACCGTGTCCTATAGGGCCACTATGAGTCAGAATGAGAGAGAAAAGTTTTATTTTATTTTATTGTACAAACGACATGCTATTCAGCAGAAATATTATTGTTCCTGGGACTCAGCTTCTGATTCAAAATAATCTGCGCTCCCTTTTCTCTTCAGAAATGTTTAAAGCAAGGCAGACACAGGTGTTTGTCTGTAAGAGAGAGAACATTTGCACCCCCTGTTCTTCAGGGTAGAATGTGGGTGGTAGTGAAGTGGCCCTGTGAGATGGCAGTCACTCTTGCCTCAAGGTGTCTGCCAGCTTCAGGTCTTCCTAGACAATATCTTCCTAGCCTCAGTATCTTAGAGGGCGACTTTGTCCTTGATCTTCAGAAAAGTGGCTGCCATTATTTTTTCATTTTGACCCATCCTACTGTCCTACCCAAACAGGAAACAAATAGCAACGGGTCTACATGTACATGCGATTATGAGTCAATGAGGGTCATGTGGCATCCCACTTGGATTTGTGCTTTAGCCATGTTCTTTCTTTCCGGCAGGTGTACTTTTGCATGTGATGGGAGATGCTCTGGGGTCTGTGGTTGTGGTGATCACAGCCACGATATTCTATGCACTTCCCCTGAACCGTAATGACCCCTGTAACTGGCAGTGCTACATTGACCCCAGTCTGACTGTGGTCATGGTCATCATCATTTTGTCATCAGCCTTTCCACTCATCAAGGAAACCGCAGCCATCTTGCTACAGATGGTCCCCAAAGGAGTTGACGTGGAAGAGCTGAGTAAGTCAGAACGGGTTCTTTTCTACATGGCTACTGATTTCATGTCGCTCAGACCAAAGGCCTAGTGTTATTTCCGAATGATGCTTCATTTATGTATTTTGAGATACTTCAAATCACGAGGTGCTAGGACATCTCATCATAAGTTTTGTAGGCTTGAAAGATGACTCACAGCTCTAAGAACCAAAGGTCTTTGTCAACTCATGATTTGCAGACTCAACTAAAATTTTGAAAATGTATGACTTGGAAAACACCCATTACTGTTTACCTTTCTCTTAAGGGTTAATTTTAATGCAAACAAGGCCACTTTTGTCCAGATCTCACTTTATATTCTCCTTATTCTAAAAATATTGATCATATATGTATGTTTTCTAGTTAACTGATTTTAATGGCCATACAAGCCAGTATGCCTCTCATAATAGAGTAAAAAAGGACAGTTTTAAAACTAAGATAACTCTCCTTTAACAGTGCAATTTGCTTCTTTGATTTGCCTAAATAGGTCCAATTTTTGCCTTAGGTGTGCACACTTGGGGGTACACATATTAGAGACTGGATAGAATTTCTAAGTGGGCATTAATTAGATTTTAGCAAGAAACTGAAGGATACCTTCTTTATTTCTGGTGTTTCTAAATGGAAATTACCTTGTTTTTAATAGGAAAAACCCTCTGACTATTTATGCATATTTGATATTGCTATATCTACTGTGGCATCAATAGTGAGCTAGCAAAAGTGAAATAAGAGTCCAGACCAAATCTGAGACCAAAAGTATTAACGCTATATTCTAGGACAAATGCCTGACATTATACTTGAGTAGATTCTAATGGCCTGGTTAGACCCTCACCTACTGAAGGCTTGATTTACAGAGTGGCTCTTTTATGAAGGTTATAGTTTTGCATCATTTAATAGCAGGCAGGGTACCAGCCCACCACGCTGTTGCCCAATGGCTGTTGATCCTGCTATGATGTTTTACTCTGGATGCTTTAGCTCCCCCTTTGGCTTAATCTCTAGCTGTGTTGGTTAATTTACTGTCTCTGATAATCAATTGTGTGGCGTTAACTCTCTGCATAGAATTAAAATAATTAGTCTCTAATTCCTGTGTGCCTACTAATTGCTCAGGCAGTGTTGCAGCCAGAGAAGCTAGTGGGGAGGTAGGAGAGGTATCGAGATAACACATTGCCTTTATTGCCCAAGGAACTTTTTCCTAATTGGGGAAATAAGATCAACATGTACAAAGCAATTTTGGATCTGTATTGGCTTGAGTGGATTTTTTGATGTTCACTTTCACTGTTATACATCAGAAAAACTTAAAAACAACATATTGTGCAGTGGAGAATAGGTCTTCATAGAGCAATGCACTCTAAAGTGTCGAGTTAAAGGTTGTTTCTTAATAAAATAATATGTTCTAAAACATTAAGAAAATATAGTATAACAATTGCAACAGTTTTATGTCACCTATACGAGCATGAGCTAGGTACTGTTCTATGTGACTAAAATATTAAAGTAATCTTATAGTACTATTATTATCACTAGGAAATTGAGGCACAGAGGGGCTGGGTAAATTACCCAATTGGTCATGTAAATAGTGAATGACTGAACTGATATTCAAACTCTAGCTGTCTACACAGTCTTTGTTCATAATCACTAAATACCATCTCTTTAAATCCATCTGCATCTTAGAAGGTATGGAAAAAAACCAGAAGAGCGTAAAGCAGAACTTAAGGGATAATTAATTCTACCACCAGCAATGAATACCCTTCATATTTTTATTCATATACTTAGGTGTTCTATAAGAAATAGAATCATGTCATATATACAGTTTAGTTTGGACTTTTACTTTGAATTACCTTGTACATTTCCACATTCCTTAAATACTCTTTCAACTTCCTTTTTAATAACTGTTACTGTATTCTGATGTTCAGTTGACTTAAATATTTCCTTATGAGTTCCATTTTTAAAATTGCCCAAACTACTCTTGGACATAGGTGTCTGGGATGTTTATTGTTATTTTCTTCAGAATAAATTGCTAGTACTAGAATTACTGACCACATTTAAAAAATTTTGATCCATGTGGCCAAATTACCCCCTTAAAAAAAAGGTATTCTGATATATTCTCTCACCAGCAGCCCCAAAGAGTATCTATTCTATTGTAGACTCAGCAACTCTGGGTTTTAGTACTACTGTTTTTATAATTATCATCGTATTTTCTTGAATTACCTTTTATGTGCTGAACATATGTGGTGCAAGAAGTCAGAGAGGAGAAAGACAAATGTGTCTATAAAGAGAAAGCCATTTTTCCACCTGTAACTTTTAGTTAAAAGAAGCCCTGCTGCGGCCGTGGTTAAGCACTCAGCTGTGAACCGAGAGGTCGGCAGACTCAACTGTCCCAGCAGCTCCAGAGCAAAGGCCTGACCGTTGGCTTCCAAATCGATTACAGCCGAGAGGCTGTAATGACAGTACGCGGTGGGGCAATTCTTTGCTATTCTATAGGGCCCTTATGAGTTGGAATCGACTCGATGGTACTAACACAACAGCAACAGTAATTTTCAGTAGGAGCCCTGGTGGTGTAATGGTTACAAGTTGTTTGACTCACTACAAGATCAGCAGTTTGAAACCACTAGCCAGCTCAGGAGAAAGATGGGGCTTTCTACTCCTGTAAAGAGGTACAGTCTCTGATTCTCACAGGGGCAGTTCTTCCTTGTTCTATAGTGTCTCTCTGAGTCACAATGGGCACAATGGCAGTAAGTGAGAGAATGCGTGACACAGTTATTGTGGTGAGGAAGTTTAAGGGGGCAGACTTCTCCCATAGTTCCACGACCAGTTGTAGGACTCACCTGTGCTCTGTTTGCTCTCCTCTGTTCTAGCGAGTAAGCTGTCCAGCGTGCCCGGGATTAGCAGTATACATGAAGTGCATATCTGGGAACTCATCAGTGGAAAGATCATTGCCACTCTGCATATCAAGTATCAAAAGGACAGGGGCTATCAGGAGGCCAGTGTGAAAATTCGAGAAATCTTCCACAATGCGGGAATCCACAACGTGACCATTCAGTTTGAACATGTGGACCTGAAAGAGCCCCCAGAGCAGGACTTGCTCTTGCTCTGCAACTCTCCCTGCATCTCCAAGGGCTGTGCAAAGCAGCTGTGCTGTCCCCCTGGGGCCCTGCCCCTGACCCACATCAATGGGAGCGCAGAGCACAATGGCTCTCCGCCTCTGGAGGGATACCAAAGTGATGGCCTCAGTAGACGGGACCTAAGGGAAGTGGTCATCGACGTGTCTTCGGATGGCTGTCTGAGTTGCCATGGAAAAGCTCACAAAAGCACTCAGGAGGAGCAGTGTTATATAAACAGCACCCATTTTTAATCTGGTGCCCACACCATCAGACTGGGTATTCAAGGCACTTTGGCCAGCGGCTTGGCTTGGGAGACGAGCTCTGGTTTGTCGGTACTGGCCAAACTCACCGCTGTGGGCTCACTGTGTGTGCAGTAAGGGGTGGGCTGTGGGGGCTTCTCGAGGAATATGTCTGATAATTTTTATGTGACCGCCAATCCCTTTACCTTACTCTGGGCATCTCATGCTGCACTGCAACAGTTTAAATCGGAACTTTTATTTTTGAAAGCAAACGGAAGTACTGTATGCGCCAGCGTCACTACAGTCTTGAGAGCCAAAGATTGTGGACACGGCATTCAAAGTCCTTTTGTCTCGTTCTTTGGAGGATTAGAACTTCTAACTGGCTCTCTGTTGCTGTCCCAGTCAAAGTGCATTGGGTGGGGGGGAGAAGACATATCTAGCTAATTCCCCCCATTTCCATGGACAATCACAGAACAGAAAAGTTAGATAGTCCTGTTATTGTTGAATTCTTTGTTTTTCTTCTGACCCATTTCTGAATAAATGTAAAATGGATGCCTATTAAAACAGGACCTTCAAGGAAGGAGAGCTTGGGGTTGTTGGGGTGCAAATACTTTTTAACCATCTCTTCCTATTGAGAGATGGAAAGAAAGCTCATGTTTTCTTCCTGCTGTGAAATAAACTATAGCTAGAGGGTGTTTCAGACATTTAAATATATAAAATATATATTTTTTCTTTTTCACTTGGAAGCATGGAGGTATTTATGCTTTCTTAGGGACGACACAAGTCCTTACCTACGGTGTTTAGTCAGCCCAGTTAGGGACATTTTCATTTATTGCTCTAATAATGAGTTATTTATTTGTCTGTTCCTTTTGAGTCTTCTTTAATACTGTCACATTACATAGCATTTAACAGAGAAAATGAATATTCAAGGGATAGAAGAATATATGACCTTGAGTATTCATTAATACCAAAGGAATAAGTTAGATTGCACTTTCTTTAATTAAAAATATTTCAGAAGTATTTATTATAGCTGCCAACTACTTGATGGAAAGTGTCCAAGGGGGAGGCGGGATTATAATTTATTTAATTGCTGCTTTTAATGTTTTATGAAGAGCTTAACATTTTCTTTTGTGTCTTGGGTATATATTATCAACTTAAAATAAATTAATTAGAATCTGCTTTAGACTCCAACATACGTTGATGTTGGGGAAGTATCTACCACGTATTTATCAATTTTTCAGGCATCAATATTTTAAGGTTTAAATATGTGAGGAAAGGCGTGCTTTTATCTTTGATGGGCTGCAAGGAGGACTGAAAATAAACCTCTTATAAGTTGGAGACCGAGTCCTGTTTAGAATCTGTCTAGAATTCATCAGAAATGGTAGCTTGAAAAGGGAAGGTTCACCTGAATTTTTTAAAGCACAAATGCCATAGATTTTTATGCACAAATATAATCATTTAAAATGCTTTGTAGTCTTAAATTTCTACAGCTGGAATAAGTTATCAGCTGTGATCTGTAAGACAGGATATATCTTTTTTTTACTCCTTGACAATTGGCCCAGGATTAGGTAACTAGAAAAACATCTATGGATGTTGTTAGCCCTAGTAGTTTACTGAGCCAGGTTATATACACTTTCTAGTTTCTAAAGGGTAGAGTAGAAACTGGTGCTTCTGCTTTTAAGTAGATTTTGGCAGAGACACACATACAAATCAGGGTATTCTCTAGCCTACACACCACTGTGGGCTAAATTCTGCCACATAAGCGTTGTGTTCTTGAGATGCCTTGCCTGGAGCCAAAGAAGACATTTTTCTCTCACTTTCAGGTCTAAAACTCTAACTTGATTTCACATCTATCTGCCTTTTGTAAAAGCATACAGTGGAATATGTATTAGTTTGCACACAAATAGTATTCTTTAATTAATCTCAAAAGTATTTTTTCTGAAAAAGGGTGAAAAATAGTAAAATAGAAACCACTTATGTCCAATGTCATTAAATCTAACCTCAGAAGAGTAACTCCCACTTGCCACTTAACAAATGTACCAGATTGTGGAGTAATCTTAATGTGAAATAACATCTTTTAAAAGACAGTGTGTCTGAGTACATTTAAAAATGTCCAAGCTGGCTGATTATGTGCAATATTTTATATTGGGTGGGAAGCACAAGTTTTCTTAATTCCCCTTGAAGTGCCCTGATTCCTTAGGGCAGTAGCACCTGTGAGCAGTAGATAGAAAGCAGTTTCCATTTTGCTCTGAAATTAGGAAAATACTGCCACTTCATGTGGTGTTCTTGTGTGCTTAGGTTAATTCTAGAATCGCATCCCCCCGCCCCCACCCCCACCCCCCAATTTTTTTTCTAAAATACTTGAAGTAATTTTTCAAAGTGCCTGGGCCCCTCCATGTGCCAGGTCAGTGCCACTGTGTAGGACACAGGAGAAATTACTCTTGGCTGTCCTTTGCGACTCCCATCTGCCCCTTGTTCTTTGTCCTGAGAAAGCCCTGTCCGCATTACTTCAGCGTCAGCTCTAGGAAGTAACAGGCCTGCTTTTTATTTTTCATTCCTAAACATTGTTCTTGAACAGAGAGGTTATGTATTGCTCTGTGAGCCTACATTTTAGATTTACTTAAATGGCTTTATGTTATAGACTTGCTGGTATTTCAAATGTTTCTTTTCCCAATATAAACAATATATTTTTAAGAAAAGAGGAACAGGAAAATAGAGGTGAATTTCCCTCATGATATTATTGACCATCATGGGTATTCCTTAGGGCTGGCAGGCTGGAAGAGAAAAAAAATCAACAAAATAAAATACTATCCTTCTGATTAAAAAGAATAATAATAAAAACCCATGAAACAGACCTTGTTTGAGAAGACTGGAGCTATAAGTGGGTATCTATCAGGTTCTCTAAATCTGATAGAAATGCGTGTTTTTGTGGAACCTGCTGAGGGAATTCGTGGGTAAGAATTAGGCAATTTCTTTGTGAGGTATAAAGAGGTTTTGTTATACGTAAAACCAGGGTTTCCCAGCCTGTGCACTCGTGGCCTTTTGAGCTGGGTGATGATTTGTTGCAGGAGACTGCTCCTGTATGCCACGGCCTTTAAAAACACCCCTACCCCATACCAGGAGATGCCAGTAGCAGCCCCCTACCCGGGTTGTGACAGCAAACATTGCCACATGCCTCCCGGGACCAGGATCACTGGCCACAGAGGATAGTTTCCCGAAGCTGTTTTGGAAAGCCCATTCGGGGTCCAAGGATCCCTTTAATGCCAGTCTTGAGGAAAAAAAAAAAAATGAAGGCCATGTTAGACTATTCATAAAGGCTGCAATTCTCACTATACAGGAGTGTTTGATAATTAAAGTAATAAACGAACACACACAAAACAACTTTACAAATCCAGTTATAGAGATGAGTTATTGAAACCACAAATGAAATGAAGAAAAAAAGCACTTTCACTTAATACTATGTGATCATTTCCAAACATCATGAATATTCAAAATTTGGTGAATCCACTACTAAATGAGACTGGACAGGATCAGTACAATTGATTCCTAGAGTTAAAATGAGTAATTCTCTTTCATATAGAATATTACTAATTTCAAACACGATCTTATTATTGCTTCCTGATAAGCAGCTCAATTTAGTGCTAATGACTGGTTCAGATGTCATTTATTTTTATTATTATAGTTAACATAATCCCTTGCCTAGTCATCTTAATTTTCTTCAAGGGGAAAAAGATAAATTACCTGCCTTTAAATTTGTCCTACTTTAAAATATATTTTTGTACCTCCTGCTGAAAAAAACAAACAAAACTAGTCTAGCCCAAATGAGGAAGCCTGATCTGATTTGAATTTTAAATTGTGATTCCATAATGACCATGGGCTGTATGTCTGTTTAACAACTCCGCCTTTCACTCAAAACATTGTCACCTATGTGTGAATCTGAAGGAGCCCTGGTGGCACCGTGGTTAAGCATGTGGCTGCTAATGAAATGACAGGCAGTGCGGACCAACCGGCCGCTGACAGGAGAAAGGTGGGACCATCTGCTTCATAAAGATGCCCCCGGTGGAAATCCCAGTTCGACTCTGTTCTGCAGGGCTGCCACAAGGCAGACTTGATTTTAGGGAAGCAAGTTTGGTTTTCTTCCGTTCTTTTGTTTAAGCAGCCACAGGTAGGAATGAGGTTAGAGAACCAAGAAACTAGCTTCTCAAACGGGCCTCCCACCTCCCCACAATCCTCAATGAAATCGAAATCTTTTCTAGGAACTTGTAGTTTAGCGAGGGCACATGTGTCCTTTTCTGCAGCGTCTCTTTCAGGTTTTCTATTTTGGAGATTTTTGTTTACATTGAACTTTTCCAAAAGGTGCTGGATGGATCAGCTGTCTGCTAATGGTCCAAAGCCCGTTCCGAGGCACTGGGCCTCTGCTCCGAATTCTGATGAAAACCATCCAGGAAGAACAGTGATATTCAAGGGGAGTGACCCTTCCTGGAGGGCTGAGGCGATGTTACAGTATTGTGGAGTGTTGTTGCTTAAAGTTTTCTTTCAGTCTTCACAGGAAATTTCTGCAAAAGTAGAATCATCACATTTGGGGCAATTATTAAATATATGAAGCTTAAGTGACTACTTGCATGTGAGCCCCACCCCCCAACAATGTATGCACATATGCATATCTTTAAAAGTGAAAGATATTCCATGGTGCTGTAAATAAAACTAAATATATATATATGTTTGTGGAAATGAAACACATAATTCAAGATGGCTGAACTCATTTTGTCTTTGTTATGTACCTGGTCAATTTATTGCTCAGTTCATTCCTCGCTTGGCTTTAATAATTTGAACTGGATTTTCCTTTGGCATTTGGCTGCTCTCTTCTTCACACGCCTCTTCCTTTTGCCCACTTGCAATGTTACAAGATATAGCTTAGCAGGAATGCCCCAGTTGCTTAATATGGACAACTTGACCGACCTGCCTCTGATCTGATCTGATGTGGCTTTCCAGTGGGACCGGGTGGCCCTGGGCTACCCAATAGAATTTGTGCAGAAGGGGAGATCCTGACATTTGGGAGAATGGTGGACAGGCTACTCTTAGTTTGCAGCGGCCCAATGGATTTGGGAATCTCTTCAATGAATTGAGCTGCAATAGATGAGGGGAATGGTCATCCAAGTTCCTTTGGTGGCTTCAAAAAATTCATGGACAAATTCCATTATCTTGTAATTTTAGTCTCCGGGAGGTTACATGTGCCTCTAGGTAGAGCACCCCAACTTTGTGAGCATTTAAAAGGCACTGTCATGGCCTAAGTTCAAGAGAGAGACCATGTATGGGGTGGGTTTTAGTGCTCAAATGTGCACATCCTAGCTCCCAGGTGATATTTGCAAATGGGGAGGGCCACATGGTTTCATGACCATCAGTTCCTCAGTAACAGCTCTGTAGCATGAAACAGAGGCGTGAGCCCAAGAAGCCCTGAACCCAGAGTTCAGAATCCCTGGCCACCCTATTCTGGCCCCTAATCCTATTTAAATTTTCTCCATAGCATTATCATTTTGCACTGTTACGTTATACCATACACTTACTTGTTTATTACCTGTCTTCCACACTAGAATAAGTCTTTGGCTAATCCACCATTGTGTTCCTCAGGTAGTTTCCCTCTGAGATATTAAGAACTTTGCTTATGTCTCAAACTTGGCACGATTGACATTTTGAATTGGACAATTCTTTGTTGTAAGGGGCAGCCCCGCACAATGAAGGGCATGAAGCAGCATCTCTGGCTTTGACCCATAGGTGCTAGCACTACCACAACATTTGAAACAATACCTGCTAGATGGTAGTGGCTCAGCGGTCATTCCTTGTTGAGTGAGTAGATAAGCAAAAGAATGAATAGCTTCAATTCTTGGGGCTACCAGTTTCAGGATTTGGACTCATCACTTCACTCCACTGAGCTTCCGCTTTCTTATCTATAAAGGAGCTCAATGAGGAAAACTTGCACCACCTTTCCTACAGAGCTGTACCTGTAAGAGGAGCTAATGCAGGGTAGGGAGTTCCGGGGTGGTGACCACACATGGTTAGTGTGCTTGGCTACCAACCAAAGGGTCGGAAATCCAAGTTCACATAGAAGTGTCTCAGAAGAAAAACATGGTGATCTATTTTTGAAAACTCAGCCATCGAAAATCCTGAAAAGCACAGCTCTACTCTGACACTCACGGGGTTGTCATGAGACAGAGTCAACTCAGAGACAGCTAACTGGTTTAATGAGAGTGAGCGAGACATCGATGTCATGGCTTTTAGTGCCGTGGACTTTGAGTCTGGCATTCACACCCTTCGTATTTTTACCTTTTATCTTTTCAA